TTGTTTGAGAGGGGGCATGGCCTTTTCGAGGTTGTGCATACGCAGCAGTATTTGCATAATTACTACTAGAATGGCAAGTGTTGTGCTGCTGATTCGAAGGGCGAAGGCGTCTTGTCTGGTGGTTCATACGTGGATCTAACATTTGGGAACATCAGGCGCGTACGTGATTGTGGTTGCTAAGATTTGGGTCTGGGAAGCTTCGACGTCTACCAAAGTGAGGTAGCAACGACGCGTTATTCGCGCTGTATCTGTGAAATTGGCAGAAAAAAACATATTTCTCGAAAAACACGTGTAGTGGGGCCGATATATCGGCCGCTCGAGCGATGTCATAATTTACGGTGAAGCACATAGCTTTGCCGTCGTGCACCGTACGGTGTACCCTTTCCACGCCACCATGTTTGTGCTTCCGGATGCCACAGGCAGTTCCAATATCAAATTTCAGTGTCAGACTCCATTTGGTTGAAAGCGATTTGTTCAATCTTTGTGCCGCGAGCACAATGATCCGAGGAGCGCCGCTCCCCCTCTCAATCCACTGTTTCATCAGCATGATCAAAGCAAACCTCGGAAAACTACCCAAAATGTCCCAATGCATGACGGGCAGAATTAATTATGGACAGAAAGCCGAACGAAAAGCTGTTTGAAAATAAAAGCGCCTAAATCTACATGGAGAACAAAACACAGCGCAACGACTGCCTGAACGAAAAACAGCAAGTCAGGAACCTTCGCGGATTTCGGGCTGTAGTTCGACATAGAACAAGAACAAAAGNGCAGAATTATGGACAGAAAGCCGAACGAAAAGCTGTTTGAAAATAAAAGCGCCTAAATCTACATGGAGAACAAAACACAGCGCAACGACTGCCTGAACGAAAAACAGCAAGTCAGGAACCTTCGCGGATTTCGGGCTGTAGTTCGACATAGAACAAGACAAAAGCAACGCGCGGCAGTCTGCCCCCATGAGAACCAACTGCTGTGTTGGAAAAAAAAGTCCGACTACGTGACTGCTGTGCGCGACAGCAAAATGATCGT